TTTCCCTGAGGTCTTCTGTGTATAGCCTCTGTTGAAGTGTGGACCAAGACTAGAAACAATCCCACACCGTACTCCTCAGTGACTTACTATTATTAAGGAAACAAGTTTCCAACTGAAATATTCAGAAAGTCCATGAAGTCTCCAGAGTCCATGGCCATTCTGCCCTCAAATAGCCACAGAATCTACGTGTAATGCTTGTTTTTAAGCTCTCTTTTATTTGGGGTTCCTTAATACCTCTCCCTTCCAACCCGCCAACCCTAGGTAGGAGAGAGAAGGTTAGTGGGGAGAGGAGGAGCAGACTGCTTTACTTCTCCCAGCTGTTTAGGGTCGATGGGTCTTTAGGGGCTGTACCAATCTTCATCACTAGTAAAGGGCAGCCAGCTGTCTCCTCCAAGCTGCTGTGTCTGTCTGCTCCAAACCACCACACCGTCCATCTCTGGTCTCTCCAAACTGCTACTTGCCACATGCCACCACCGCATATGCCACACCTTCTCTTTCTGGGCTCTCATATTTATATCCTCAAAGCCCTAGACCACGCCCCCCTTTATACTGTAGGAGGCAGGCTGATTCCAGCTGATGATGCCCCGCATAAGACAATTATAAGCTGTGGGCAAACTAAAACCCAACTAAAATCCCACACTTGGGATTAAAACAAGAACATATTTTATCTTCAAGGCACCTGAGCTTTTCAGTTATTTGAGGAAAAGCCATTGGTACCATCGCCCCTTCCTTCTTTCAACACATGTTGCTTCCCATCATCTCTCTGGGAAGATGATTTCTCTGCTAACTTCTTTTCTTCCCTGTCAGTATTTGGCATGGTACGCAAGGTCTCTGCTGTTTGGGAAGGAAGCAGGTTAAGTAGGAAATGGGGCACGAAGTATCCTCAGATACTAGGAAAAGAGTATAGATTTGTCCCCTGAGCTTCCTGGTACCAGTGAGCAAGGAAATCAGATTACGTACATGGGTTATGGTGGCCAGGAGATATAAAATTTTTCCACAAAATTGCTGGGTGTGGTGGTACACACCTTTAATCTCAGCACTCTGGAGTCAAAGGCAGGTGGATCTCTGTGAGTTGGAGGTCAGTCTTGTCTACAGATCCAGCTCTGGGACAACTAGGGCTGTTATACAGAGAAACTCTGTCTCAAAAAACAAAAACAAAAACAAAAACAAAAAAAGAAGGCAAGCAAGAAAGATATTTCGACAAGATCATAGCTGTTATTTCTCCTGTGTGACTGTGTTGCTCTTATGAAGACACTATATTATATATGATTAATATATATATATGATTAATATATGATTAATCATATATAATATATTGCCAATATCACCCTCACAGCAAACTCATTATCAATACAATCTTTATTCTTATTGACAGATGAAGAGAATTTGTTTAGAGTCACATAGCCAATAAGTTTGACTTTAAGTCCTGGTACTTGAACCTGTTATGATGTATTTTTTAATTTTTAAAGATTTGTTTTATTATTTTGTGTGTATGGGTTGTTTTACCGTCTCTATGCACCAGCCACGAGTACACCTGACACCCGCTGAGGTCGGAAAAGAGTAATGGATCCCCTGGGACTAGACTCACATTGTGGGTCACCATGTGCATGCTGGGAACCAAACCTAGGTCCTCTTCAAGAATAACAAGTGCTCTTAATAACAGAGCCAACTCTCTAGTCCCCAGACCTGTTATGATTTAGGGTAATATACTGAGGTCTCTGGGTTCTTTCATCTCAACAAGAATGGAGATAAACAAGAAAAAAAAATCTATTACAAATGGCCACTGATGTTAAGAAATAAATCCAAGGTTTGGAGAGATAGCTCAGTGGTGAGGAATACTTGATGCTCTTGCAGAGGGACCAGAGTTCAGTTCCCAGCATCGACATATTGGATCACAGCAAATGTAATTGGAGCTGGAATCTGATGCTTTCTTCTGACATCACTGGACACATGTAGTGCATAAACATGTAGGCCAAACATACACATATATCTAGGCCAGGTACAGTGACATATGCCATTAGTCCTAGCACTCGGGAGGCAGAGGCAGGTGGATCTCTGTTAGCTTGAGGTTCACCTGTTCTACATAGCAAGTTCAGGACAGCCAGAACTACATAATAGAGAGACACTATCTCAATAAAAAGTGATCTTATAAAAATTGAAAAAGGTGGCACACAGTGGTAGGGTTTGCTGAAGGAGGTGGAGGCAGGAGGATCATGAGTTCAAGGTCAGCCTGGGATAGACATTAAAAAGAAAAAAAGAGTCCAGTGAATGTTGAGGTAATTTAGAGAAGTCAGGGAGACCTTTTCTGAGGTAAAGTTTGAATTACGTACTAAGAATGGATGACACAAACAGGGAACAGGACAGGAGCCTACTACAGAAGGCTTCTGAAAGACTCTACCCAGCAGGGTATTGAAGCAGAGGCTGAAACTCATAGCCAAACTTTGGGCAGAGTGCAGGGAATCTTATGAAAGAAGGGGGAAATGAAATACCTGGAGGGGACAGGAGCTCCACAAGAGAGCAACAGAACCAAAAATTCTGGGCTCAGGGGTCTTTTCTGAGATGGATACTCCAACCAAGGACCATACATGGAGATAAACTAGAACTCCTGCTCAGATGTAGCCCATGGCAGCTCAGTCTCCACGTGGGTTCCCTAGTAAGGGGAACAGGTGCTGGCTCTGACATTAACTCAACGGCTGGCTATTTCATCACCGTCCCCCCTGAGGGGAGAGCAGCCTTACCAGGCCACAGAGGAAGACAATACAGCCAGTCCTGGTGAGACCTGATAGGCTAGGGTCAGATGGAAGGGGAGGAGGACCTCTCCTATCAGTGGACTGGGGGAGGGGCATGGGAGGAGAAGATGGAAAAAGGGTGGGATTGGGAGGAGATGAGGGAAGGGACTACAGCTGGGATACAAAATGAATACATTGTAATTAATAAAAAAATTAATTAATTTTATAAAGAATGGATGACACACACAATGATAAGGGAGAAATAGAATGGAAACTTATCCACCACAAAAAGAAGTATGACATAAGAGAGCTTGCTGTGTAGACCTGAGCTCAAACACAAAGCACTGATATAAAGGCAGGCAGGACTGAGAGGGTCAGTAACATGCCCACTGGAGCGCAGATTCACAGATTCAGGGAGCAGCCTAACGAAAATGATGAACTTCCAGTCTAGTGAGAGATCTCTTAAGGAAAGCAGACAGACAGAGAGAGCGGAAGGCACTAAAGCCCTTCCTCTGGCCTCTGCATTTTCATGGGCACAAGCACGCCTACATGCATGTGCAGACATGCATACGGCACAAAGCACACACAAGGAGTGATTCTTCTGTTTCCTCATGAACCCGCCATTTTATAGTATGAAATACAATTGACGAGAGTATAACATACACTTCTTTTTAAAGATACATCTTTTTATTTTATGTGTCTTAGTGTTTTGCCTGCATGTGTGCCCTCAGTATGCATACTTGTGCACCGCCTACATGTGTGTCTTCAGAGGCCAGGAGAGGGCGTCAACTTCCCTGGAACAGGCATTACATACTGATGGTTATAAGCTGTCTGCCTTGTGGGTGCTGGGATCTGAACCCAGGTCCCCTGGAAGAGTACCCACTGTTCTTGACTGTTGAACCATCTCTCCAGCCCCTTTCTATATAATCCAGCTGGAACTACTAACCCTATTTCCAAGTCATAACTCCCGATTCACCCCCCATCAATGATTGATTGTGATCATGTACTCTCACACCTGGTTTTATGTGGTGTGGGGATGGGGCAGTGTGTCAAGCGTGCTTGTCAAGGTGCTACGAAAACTGATGCCGCCCTGAAGATATTATTTCAGTAGCATTGTCTCCTTTAATTTTTTCTTCATTCCAGTAATTCTGTTAATTGCTTAGGGTATGAAAGACCAATATTAAGTATCTCCCCAGGATGGAGATGAAAACAAAAATTAATTCTTTATTTGTGTGAACGTGTGTGTACCCACAGAGCGAACGTATTTGTGGGTGCCCACAGAGTTGAGAAAAGGTGTCAGATCCCCTGGAGTGGGAAGTACATGCAGTTATGAACCTTCTGATGTGGGTGCTGAGAACTGAACTCTTCCCCCTCTGGGAGAGCAGCAAGTGCTCTTAACTGCTGAGCTAGCTCCAAGAGGGAGGGTTTGTTGTTTGTTTACTTTGCCTTTCTTTGCTTTTATGCAGAGTCCTACTTTGTCGCCTCTGCTGGTCTGGAATAATGTGTTCAAGTGCTGGCCTTGAACCACTTATCTTCCTGCCTCTGCCTTCGGAATGCTGGGATTACAGGGCTGCGCCACGGTGCCTGCTAAGAATCTATTACCCAGTAATGACTGTGAGTAGCAGCCTGATCACATAGTCTCGAAAATCTACTGCGCAGGGTCCTATTTTCCACCTGGTGAGGCCTGTGTCCAGGCAGATTGCAGGTGTGAAACAACAATAACAAACAAACAAACAGACAGACAATTTAGAGATCTGAAGGCACGAATCTGGGCTCCCTGCTGTAGTTTGGAGTCATAGAGATTTCATTCAAAGCCAGGAGTGGTGGCTCACAACTCTTAAATCCATAACTCAGGAGACTGATACAGGAGGATTGCTGCAAGTTCAAAATAACTCTAATACAGAAGGACCCTGTCAAAAAAAAAAAAAAAAGGAAGAAAGAAAGAGATTTCTTTCAGTTCTGATTTAATTTGAAGCAGCAAGCTAGATCTTCCCTTTTCTAGAAATTTGGACATATATACACTGGCAGGCACCCTTTCTGGACGCGCTGTCGTTATGACAACCGCGTCCAGCGTCCAGTTCAGGACCCTGCCGCAGCCATCCGTCGGCGCTTCTATTGGTCAAAAGTTCGTAGTAAGCTGCACCTTTTCATGTTCATTGGTCAGTTGATAGCAATGATGCAAGACCACCTACTCTCATTGGCTGACTACTTAGAGAGGGCGGAACCTCTGGGAGGCAGTTGTGCAGGCTTTTTCAGGAGCTCAGCCCCGGACCCTGCTGGAGAAGGGCCACCTCCGGAGTTTTGGAAGGATAAAGGTGAGGGGATCAATTTGGAGGCGAAGGGGCAAGAAATGAGGGACAGTGAGAAAGGGATAGGATGGACAAAAATGGAATTCCCAGGATCCCTGACCCACAGGGCGATGACCACACCTGCGGGCTCCGGCTCCGGCTTTGGCTCAGTGTCCTGGTGGGGTCTGTCCCCAGCGCTGGATCTACAGGCTGAAAGTGAGTCTCTACCCCAGGACCACACGGTGCCTTATACAGAGGTACCTTTCCGACTCCCGCGTGCGCATACCCCACAGAACTTGTGTGTCCATGGTAGGCAATACTAAAGGGGTGTGTATGCCAACGTTCCCATAATTAAATGGCTTGGGGAGAGGGACGGCCCCTAGAATCTTTTTTGATGATATTGAATACCATAAGGCAGAGGTACAGCTGTCTTTGGAATCCAGGATTGGGGTACCAGGCCCTCTGCATTAGCCTCTAAAGGTAGCTGCTGGAAACGAAGGAGACGAGGCCACCAGTGTCTGCCCACTATCGTCTTGTCAGGCCCTCCTGTGGACCCAGAGTCACAGGCAGTTACAGAGCACAAGATCCCGGAGCTGGATGTCCTGCTGTTAGGTTCTGTGGATGGGAGACACATGCTTCGGACCCTGGCCAGGGCGGCGCTCTGGCCTCTCAGGAGATTCAATGTGAGCTGGGATTCTGGGGTCGTGGATGGGGCAGGATGAACTGGGTGAGAAGCCAGATTCCCGAGTCCTTGAGAGAAGGGAGGATTGGGATGAACGTTTCCAGGTCCTACAGGACAGAGGGGCTGGAAGCTAGGCCTTGGCATCTGAGGAAGTGGAAACTGGGGGTCTCAGACCCATGTCATAGAGAAGTAAGGCCCTCGGGTTTGGGCCTCCTGGGCTTCACTCAGTAAGAGGGAGAGCCTAGGGACCAGATCTCCAGTAGTGGTGTAAGGCATGATCTGGAATCTAAACTGTGGCTGAAGAACGGGGACTGGCAAGCTTGACCTAGTGTTTGAAGCCTGTGATCACAGCTGCTCAGGAGGCTGAGGCAAGAGAAGCATCTCAAGTTCAAGGCCATCCTGGGATACAGAGTTAAAGGCTAGAGTTCAAGGGCTACCTAGAGAGACCTTACCTCACAATAGAAAGAAAAACAGAAAATCAGCCCTGGGAATGTAGCTCAGGGGTGGAGTGCTGCCCTAGCTTGTGTGAGGGCCCTGTTGGGTTCCATCTCCATTCTGGAGCCGGGGAGGCCAGTGTTCTGGGCTCCTAGATCTGCAGAACTGTCTTGTCTATCACCCCTCCAGTTTTATGTGCTGGAGAATAACCTGGAAGCTGTGGCGCGACACATGCTGATCTTCAGTCTAGCCCTAGAGGAACCTGAGAAGATGGGGCTCCAAGGTCAGTCGTTTAAGAAGCTGGTATTCAGCAAGGCAGCAGAGGTGCACCCCTTTAATCTCAGCACTGGGGAGGCCGAGAGAGGCAGATGGATCTCAAAGAGCTCGAGGCCAGTCTTGTCTACAGAGTGAGTTCCAGGACAGCCAGGGCTACACAGAGAAACCCTGTCTGGAAAAACAAAAACAAAGACTCTAGCATTCCAACTCAAGGCTCTTTCCTCTCCTTTCAAAGATGCTGGCCTTCCAAGATGTGATTTATAATTTTGGAGATGGGTCGGCATGACAGTGCACACCTTTAACCCCAGCACTCAGGAGGCAGAGGGAGGCAGGTGGATCTCGAGTTCAAGTCCAGCCTGGTCTACATAGCAATATCCAGGCTAGCCAGGGAACATAGTGAAACCCTGCCTCAAAATGTGAAATAAATGAATAAAACCTTGGAGATGTAGAGTTAGTGCCCAAAGCCCCTCGTACGGCGGAATAGGTTTTTACCACTAGGGAGGTGGCCAGGAAACTCTGAAGTTCAGGTTGTCCTTAGCTACATGGAGTTCTAGGTTCCATAGGATACCTAAAATGCCATTAAAACAAACAAACAGAGGCTATGGAGATGGCTCAGCTGGAAAAGGTGACTGCCCTCAAGCTTGATGCCCTGATGGATCTCTGTGAGTCACTTGGTGGGATGAGAGAACTGACTCCTGACAGCTTTCACCTGATCCCACACATGTCACAACAGAGACGCACACACAAAACAAAGTGTAAAAGGCAGAAGAAAAACAAAACCCTTCTGTCTTTATTTCCTATCTCATCCTTTGCATTCTTACATTTTGAAAATACAGGTCCTAGAAGGTTCTCCACCGATGTGAGTCTTAGTACGTATTTATATTGTGTGTGTGCACAAGCATGCCATGGATGCCAAGTGGAGGTCAGAAGACAGCTGTGGGAGTTGGTTCTCTCCTGCCAAATGAGTCCCTGGCATTGAACTTGGGTCCTCTGGCTTGGCAGCAAGCATCCTTATCTGTAGAGGCATCTTACCATTCTCTACCGATAGGATCCATGTGAGGATTCTGGAGAAAACTGTGTACTGTTTGGCTTATAACACCAGTGTAGTTTCCTCCCTCCACCACTTGAATCCCAAGGCTCAAAATAAGTTCATCACCAAGCTTGGCTGCAGGCACCTTTACCCCTCCCCTCCCCCACAGCATCAGCTCACTACACCTGAATGAATATTTTAGGTGTAAGAGACCCTGAGAAGTTACGACAGAGGTTTACTGCTGTAGATCAGGCTGCCTCAGGCTCCACAGCAGCACTGGAGATTATAGGCACGGGTTGCCCTAAGCCATGTGAGTATAGTTGGTCATTGCCACTAACAGCTCAGAGCGTTGAGAACATACGGTTCTTGAGTAACTCAAACTTAGTTTATCTGTAGCTCTCTTCTGTGGCATTTGTGAGATTCTAACCACAATATCTTTACATTTATCTGATGTGTATTGCATAATTTTATATAAAATTGCATATGTATATAATGTGTATGGGGGCATGTGGCTCATTTGGTAGAATGCTTGCACCGCACATGGAAATCCTTTTTGTTTGTTTGTTTTTCCAGACAGGGTTTCTCTGTGTAGGCCTGGCTGTCCTGGTGCTCACTCTGGAGGTTAGGCTGGCCTCAAACTCAGAGATCAGCTTGCTTCTGCCTCCCAAGAGCTGGGATTAAAGGCGTGCGCCACCATTGTCCAGTGGGTTTCATCCCTAATACCAAATTAAAACGGTAAAATAAAAAAGTGGTGTTACAAGGCATCCACTTCAAGAAACAAGTTATTAGCCGGGCATGGTGAAGCACACCTTTAATTCCAGCACTCTGGAGGCAGAGGCAGGCAGATCTCTGTAAGTTCAAGGCCAGCCTGGTCTACAAAGTCCAGGGCAGCCAAGGATACACAGATAAATCCCATCTCAAAAAAAAAAAAAAAAAAAAAAAAAAAAAAAAAAAAAAAAAAGCGGTGTTACAATATTAAATTATTTCATCTTTACTGTGGAGTTTTGGGTGCTTTGGTTTGGGTTTGGCTTTGCTTTGCTTTTCAGACGAAAGTTTTCTTGTGTTCCAGGGGTTGTGTCACCCTCTTCTGACCTCTGAAAAGGCTTGCACATGGTGCACATATGTCCACTCAGGCACATACAATGAATCAAGGTTTAACCTGTTAAAAACAAACTTAAAAAGAGGCTTGAGGATACAGATCAGCTGGCTTTGCTGAAGTCACAGCGCCAGTTCGCAGGGCTGGGTGGTGGTTGCAGCTCCCGGGTAGGTGCAGTTTGCCGTGTCTCCCCTCCTGTCTCCCCTCCGGCGTCATCCTTCCCACCTCCCTCCAGAGCGGAGCGAGACCTTCCTGGAGCTGTGGGGGAATGCGCTCTTGCGACCATCGGTAGCTGCCTTCGTGCGCACCCAGGCTAGCCTCCTGGCTCAACTGGTCCCCGAGCCTGACCGCCTGGAGGAGCAACTACCCTGGCTCAGCCTCCGGTCGCTCAAGGTGCCACAGCTGTCCACCACTGCTAGGGGGCAGGGAGGGGAGCATGGTCTGAAATATGACCTGCTGCAGGAAGAATGGAAACGAGGAGTTCAGAGGATTTGACCAGCTGCAGCAGGCTGGGGTGTGGGGATCGCAATCTCGCCTCTGACTCCCACTATTGGGGCTAGGGTTAGGGGAGGCTTTGCTCTCTGAGTCTTATTTTTTCCACCCCTAAGTAATCATTCCCACGTAATGGGATGGAGGGGAGCCTTCCCTGCATCTCTGGCTCTCTCCATGCTTTTCTGGCTCTGCAGTTCCGCGAGCGGGATGCCCTGGAGGCCGTGTTCCGCTTCTGGTCAGGTGGGGAGAAAGGACCCGAGGTCTTCCCCATGAGTCGCCTTTGGGACTCGAGGGTGCGCCACTACCTGGGTTCCCGCTATGATGCCCGGCGTGGCGTGGCCGACTGGGACCTGAGCATGAAGCTGCACGATCGAGGGGTGAGGAAGCCTGGGAGCAGGTGGCCGGCATCTGAGGTCTGAGGGAGGAGGGCTGGGGTCTGGACTCCTGTGTCAGACGGAGGAGGACTGGGCCTGCACCTCTGAGTCTGAGGTAGGAGGGATTCCTACAGTTTGGGGTCTTATACCAGATTCATCAGGGCCTTCTTCCCCTCCTCTACCTCAGGCCCAAGTCATCCACATACAGGAATTCAGACGCTGGCGGGATACAGGCGTTGCCTTTGAACTCAGAGACTCGAGTGCTTACCATGTGCCCAACAGGACCCTAGCGTCGGGTCGCCTACTGAGCCACGTGTGTGTCTACTCCCAGGCCTGGTCTGCGTATTTTAGGTATCCACGTAAAGTTCCTAATTTGGACCTCACATGCATCTCATCCCCTTGTTTATTCCAGCGTGGGGAACAAGTGGCAGCGCGCGGGTACTGGGGGGACATCGCCACGGGGCCCTTTGTGGCTTATGGCATCGAGGCGGATGACCAGAGCCTTTTGCGAAGGAGCAATGGACAACCGGTCAAGGTGTGGGCTGGGGTGAGGTGGGAGGGGTGACTAGTATTGTGCCCAATAGACAAGTTCCTGCTTTTGGCCTTCCAAGCCCTGCCCCTTCCGCCAAGCTGCGCCAACACTTTTTAGCTCCACCCTTTATTTTGGGGCTAGCTGTCACCTGTGCACTGGAAGCCCCATCCTCGCCAGCATAGTCCACTTAATGTTCCTAGCCTGAGGTCGGCCCTTCCCTTTTCTCCCTGGCAGACTGCAAGCGAGATCACACAGCATAATGTTACAGAGCTGTTCAAAGACGTGGCCGCCTGGAGGGGCCCGGGAGCCACCCAGCAGAACCAAGAGGAGACAAAGTCGCCTGAGGCAGATGGTAGATAGCCAACAGCTGCCAACTTCAGAGAGGCACTATTTTTTGTCTGTTTGTCTGGTCGTTGTTTTTTCCGAAGGCTTGAATGGAGTTGGTTTGGAATACCTGGGCAGTTGGCCTCTGGTTGATGTTTGTTCTCTTTTTCTCTCTTGTTCTTCCTTTCCTAAATCCTGACACAGCAGTAGAGGTCTAACTGGGAACTGTCTAGATTCCTGCCTAGATACTTTGCCTTCATGGATTCTGGCTGTCCCTCTTTCTATTCCATTCCTTAACTCACTCCTCCCTGAGTGCCTGTTCCTCTATTCAAGAGGCCATCCACTTTATTTCCTTTCTGTAAAATGGGTCTCTGTCTCGGGGGCCCCCCTCCCCAGATGTGCAGCAATCTAGCTCAGGGAAAGGATAAAAAGAGTTCTGGAAGGACAAGGAAGGTGGACAGGATAGCTCATCAGGGAGAAGCGCAGCTCTCTCTCCTTGAGAGAGATGACTCAGTAAAGATTGTCACCTGACTTTTACACACAACCAAAAAAATCAACAAAAATATTTTTAAAGAAAAAGACAAGAAATCTGAGCGTGGCAGTACATGACTGTCACCCCAGCATTCAGAAGGCTGAGGCAGGAGGAAATGCCTGGTTTAGGTAACAATTCCAGACATTTCAGCTACAAGATGAAAAGCTGCCTCAAGGCAAAAACAAAAGTAGAGGACAAGGAGTGTTAACTCCAGTATTGTTTGTCTGCCCACGAGTGTGTATCTCTTTGACCATCTCTTAAGATTTATGTTTATGTGTGCGTGAACACACGTGTAAGTGCCTGCAGAGGCCACAAGAGGGAGCCATATCCCAAAAACTAAAGTTAGGTTCTGGCTGCCGAGCACTAAACTCAGGGTCTCTGAAGGAGTGGCAAGCCCTCTTAGCAGCTGAGCCAGCTCTCCAGCCCCAGAGCTGACCTTTTTCATCCCTTCTTTTGCAGTGCCTACTCAAGAACCCTTCACTATGCACTTTCTGCCTCTCAATTCTTCACAGACTCTCCACCACAAGTCCTGCTATCAGGGCCGGTTCCAGCTCCTCTATGTGTCCTGTGGGTAAGTGGAACACAAATATACTCAGAGCCCTAGGATAGAGTCCCAGTTTCTTTGTCAGGAACCGGAACTTGAGCTTTGCAGTCTCCACCCTGCTCTGGGCCTCTGTCCTCACTTGTGTTTCTCAGCTCCTAGCCTTTTCTCTCCTCAGGATGGTCCATCTTCTCAGTCCTGAGCTCGGGGCTTGCGTGGCCCCTGGAGGGAACCTGGTTGTGGAATTAGCTCGGTGAGCCAGAGGAGCAGGGTGGGAAGGTCCCAGCTGGGCCAAAACCCAGTCTCCTCACACACAGTTTCCTGAACCCAGGTACTTGGTGGACATACGGCCCAAGGAGTTGAAGGCGTTCTCTGACCGTGTTGGGGAGATAGCACGGGCAGCTGGGTTCGCCCCTCATACTGGAACCACCCCCTCGGAGACCTTTGCACGTTTCTACAAGTTAGGAGACACCAGTAGGGGTTGTGGAGACTCAGCTTTGGAAGCCACAGTCCTGGCCCCTCCCCCAGAAGCAATGAGCCCACCCCAGGCTGACCAGGCCTCTTCTCTAAGAGCAATGAGCCCACCCCAG